TCTTTCATCCGCGTAGTTTAAATCAGTGTCTGAACTGGATTTACCTCCCAAAAATAAACTCCTAGTGAACACTTTCTTTCTTAAACTGAACAACTCCAGAGAGTTTCAGCAATCTCCTCACTGCGTTTATATCAAATAAAAAACGGCGGCTGCCTACAGCATGAAAACACTGCAACCAGCAAAACAATCATGAATAAAATAAAGCTTTCTTAATGTGCTGTAAAGGGCCTTAAACATGCTAAATCATTGTTTTTGAGGTTAAAGCCAGGGGATGGGGGAATGCATGAGGGTCCTCGCAAATATATTGCTGCGATTATCTGTGTGTCTGTGAGTGTGTGTGTTTGTGTGTCTGTGTGTGTGTGTGTGTGTGTGTGAGTGTGTGTGTATGTATGTGTGTGTGTGTGTGTTTGGTTTCAGGCTCTTTGCATGTGACCCATAGTCCCCCGGCCTGCTAAAAGCACAACATTCAACTCAATTAGTGGCATGCATAATTGATAGCTGTCTGGGAGAGTATTTGTATTTACACTGGAATTAAAAGCCTCCGGTGTCAGCTATCACATCTGAGGGACGATAAGTGTGTGTGAGCGTGTGTGTGCACATGTGTGTGTGTGTGTTTTCTAGACGAGGAACGTATAGGGATGCATGTATATCACAGGTCTAAGTGGATTTCTGCCTGGAGCTTCTCTTTATGTGCCTCTTCTGCTGCAGAGAAAACTAAATCACAGCTAATCCACCTACGAACGCAGCAGCACAACACTTTGGGTTAAGTAGCGCAGGATTAACCCAGTTCTCACCGAAACACAGATTTAGATTCCATTAACGGATGTGTCATTGTTTGCAAAAGGAGCAGAAGTTCTCCACTGCTTAAGGAACATTTTCATATTTTGGGAAATCTTTTGCTTTCTTGCCAGGAGCTGGACGTAGAGGTGTGTTAGCGTAATGAGCTTTTAGCAGAAAGAAGCATCTGGCCTGTTTCTATCCATTGCTCGGCAACAACACCAGGAAGTCACAGCCCTCGGTCAAGACCAGTCTGGCACAAAACTTCCTATAATACTATCCTATCAGTGTTTCTACTCATGAATGAATCTGTGCAGTGCCATTAACATGTGCAATATTGTTATTTCCATCCAGAGGAATTTGAACAATCTGAACTTGTGTCTATTTTTGGTTTATTTTGGATTGTTCTACTGATATTTCTTAAATATTTGCACTGTCTTGTTTGCAAATGTCCCCGCTGGTATAATAAAGGCTTATCGTATCGTACAACTGCAACTCTTGGTTTCATTTTTGTGCACGTTTGACCTACGGAGCATCGAGTGTTTGTTTGTAAGCTGTAATGATCCCGGTTGGCTGGTTTTGTTAACTTTGAGCAGAGCCGGGATTAGCATAATTGTCCTCGTGCTAAGCTAACCAGCTGCTGACTTGATGCACAAACTGCTTCTGCTTCTGGCGCTTTGTAATGTCTCAACTGTTTCAGTATCACATGCATGCCTGCTGTAATGAAATACTGCAGATGAGGATATGACAGCCGATATGCACCGATTAAACATGATAAATGAGCAGAGAGGAAAGTAATGAGGGAGTGAAGAGGAGAAAGGAGGAGAGGGACACATTGGGAGGCAAATCTTTCAAATTTGGAGCCTGCAGAGGTCTTATTGTCGACTCCTATTGCTGCAAAACAACAGCAAATAGTCGTATGAGCGCGCAGGAAATAGAGCAAAGAAGGGTGTGTTATGGTAGCCTGTATGGTAAATGTTATGTTTGAGATCCTGATGTTAGAGAGGAGAAAACCGCATCTTGACTTGGACATTGATAATGCAGACAAATGGACCTTGTTATCCTCTCCAAGCTTCACCAACCAGCTTTGAGATGCTCATAACAGTTTTTCAGGCCTGTTTATAAGTGCACATATTTTTTTCTGCCTCAAAAACCACCGTGAAAGAAGTTCTACAGGAAGATTGTTGTGGTAAGAATGCACAAAGCTTCTGCTAAAACAGTCTTCAAGTTTGTAGTAGAAATAGGATTATATAAACAAATGCATCTGACAGCGGGGTTGATATTCTAATTTAACTTTTGGCAAGAAAGTGCATCAATCACAAGCAGTATTTAAGTTTTTTGCCTTTATAAAATAATCTGATAACCTGCAACATTTTGATTTCAATCATAAACTGTCTAATGCAAGACGGTTTTCAATCATCTGCCTCCTGCTATGAACTGATTTCTGGTGGCCAAAAAAAGTATAATTCATGTGTCAAGTAAAGCTAAATACATAAAAAAAGAAATGAAATGATCTCACAGTTGTCATTTGGAGAATTGAACTGCTCATGTGATCAGTTTTTAAAATAAATTATGCTCGATCTGACACTTAATTATTCCTCTTACTTGCAGTATTTTGTGCCTTTCTTGTATAATGGGTGATTTGCTTGTATGAAAACGTCAACTTTTTAATCTAAGATGACGTAGTTTGGGATTTTTAAGTAGTTTGAAAGCTTATTTGTAAGCTAAAGTTATTTAAAAAACACATGTAATATGAGCTAGATAGATACTTCATCTATCCCCGTGGGAAAAAATGTAAGATATTCAGAAGCTCTATTATATATTTTATGGAAGAAAATCAAAGTAGGATAAGGTGCAAATTGTTCTGGTAGAAGTTAGGTGCAAGAAAAACAAAACAAAAAACAGATGGTGCTTGTAC